ATCAAGCATTTTATTCAAAGTATAATTAATATTATTTTTAACAATGTATATATACATTTTATTGTATCAGAATAATTTCTTTTGTCAGTTGTAATCTCAACACAAAGTTTCCTGGTATTTCAAGTGAGTGACAGACATTATTATTCTTTTATCTGTTTACAAAACCTTGGAACCTTGATCTTGTTTTCTAAGTCATTATATTATTTCATTTGTTTATATTTTACAAAAATATACATTCACTTTAAGATAGTGTAATGGTAAATTTTTACAAACTCTTTTCAACATTTATAATATTAAAATTATTTAAACAATTCAATCAAACACACACACAATTTATTTTTATATGCTTATGGTAACCACATAAAGTTAAAATTTTTTTCCCTAGTGATGTTAATTCAACATGAAAATAGGAAATGGAATTTAAACGTTTAAAATATAATTAAATTCTTTTCAAACTATATTCTCTGGCCAATAATAAAATCTTTCATAAATGAAATTAAAATGCTTTTAAATATATATATATATATATATATGTATATTTAAGTAAGTAAATTTACACACGCACACAAGAGAAAAGTTATTAAAATAGTTAGCATTTTAAATTAGTTTTTATTATGTAATTTAATTTTGTACAAAAAAAAAAAAAAAACTTGTGATCTTTTTACAAAATATATAAACTCACCTAATATATTTATCCACATTAATTTTTTGTTCTTTTTTTTTTTTTTAAATTTAAAAAATAAAAATTAATTTTTTTATAACCTCATCACAACACAACAACCATTCACGTAAAACCCGCCAAAACGTGACGTCATGCAAAATAGTTAAAAAAATTCCCGATGGTAGCGCTAAAAAACAACCGCCATGTTTTTAAAATATAAAAAAAAAATATCATTAAAATTACATTAGGAATATTTAAATGAAAATTAATGAAAAAAAAAAAAAATTTTTTTAAAGAAAATATTTTTTAAAATGTAAGGAAAGAAAATTTTTTTTTTTTTTTTGTAAAAGTAAAAAGGTGTTAAACCATATCTAAATATTAATCAACATTAAAAAGATTTTCTCGTTAAATAATTATTATTTTAATCAAATATTCATAATAAAGTAAGTAATAATTTCCCGATAATGAGGATATGAAAAAAAAAAAAAAAAAATTAAAACGAGTGCGATTTTAATTTAAAATAAATTTTTTGAGCTTATTGATAACCCCCCCCCCCCATAAACTAATAATATAGTTAAATGGAAAGAGAAAAAAGGTTTTTACCTTTGAAAACTTAAATTTTTTTATTTTTTTATTTTTTTTATGGCCAATTGAACACGGTTGAAATTAACTAAGATAT